AGGCAGGGGCAAGTTCTCATCATCAGCCCTTCCAAGGAGCCTCGGAGAGACGCAGGAGGGTGGTTTTCCAGGCGTTCATCCCTGTGGAACACCCTCTGCCCCGTTGGACGAAGCACCAGTGATGCTCCACGGCTGGAATGTGGTGTCACATCCCAACCGGCGCTGGTTTGGGCATCCATCGGTGCTGCCAGCCAGGTCTGTGGAGGAGCAGGAGGGAAAACACCTTCCCTATGGAGCGCTGGGGCAGAACACTGCTGGGAAGGGCAAGAGATGCTTCGCCAAGCCCCCAGCCAGCCCTGGGGGGGTGGGGAGGGAGGGAAGGGCCTCCCCACGCACCGTACAGCCATTCCCTAGGAATACTTTATTAAATAGTCTCCAAAAAACCAGAAGCAAAGAGTCAGAACGGCCCCGTCCCTCCCAGCAGGTTAAAAACTACACCCAGCCCCTCCTCACGCCCTGCAGTGCTCCATGTCCCAGCCATTCCCGAGCTCCCAGCTATTCCCACTGCACTCTGGCACCACAGGAAGAGGCGCCAGGAGGGTCCCTCCGGGCTCCAGCCATGCTCCAAGCCCTCAAAGGCCACACCAAGCCACCCCAAACCGCCACTGAAGAAGAGCCCAATGTGCCCCAAGCAACAGGCAGCCAACAGCAGGTTTTGCCATCACTCCCCAGCCAGCTCTGTGGCTTCAGGAAGGCCCCGAGGCCACTTCCCCCTCCCCATCCACCCCCCAACCCAGCACGTTTATAAAACAGGGTTTGTTTCTTGCTTTTTCTACCAAGCCAGCACTGGGAACCTCCTTGGCCGCAGCAGAACAGTCTCCCTGCGAGGTAGAGAGTCAATTCCAGGGCTGACAGAGCCTAAATTCAAACCCGTTTGTCCTAAGTTGAGGTAAAATGCAGTAGTTTATAGGAAGGGTTGCAGTGCCAGAGGGCCATCAAGATTCCTCGTTGCCAGAGTCATCCTCATCACCATAACAGCTCTCGGCCTCTTCCTCCATCTCATCATCCTCGTAATAGTCGTCATAGAAGAGGTCGGAGCCCTCATCAGGGGCTGGAGTCTTGGTCTTCACGCAGTACTCTGCCAGTGTGGTGGGGACCTTCACACCGTCCCGCTCAGCATCCACCTTTGTGCCCAAGACTTGCTTCCTGGAGGCGAGAAGCGGGAGGTGAGGATGGAGCCCTGCACCCCACACACGTCACTGCGGGCGGCTCATCCCCAGCCCTGGAGCCAAAGAGGAGCAGGACTCAGGCTGGGGCAAAGCTGAGCACGGAACCCACCAAGCTCCTCCTAAAAGCCACACTCTGAGCCAGAATCTTTCCCTCCTACCAGCCTGCAGATGGGACCCGAGGGGAGGTGAGAATCACAGCACCAAAGGATGCTTCTCTGGGCACCCTGTGCCAGCGCCTCAGCACCCTCACAGGGAAGAGCTTCTGCCCAAGAGCTCATCTCAATCTCCCCTCTGGCAGGTTCAAGCCATTCCCCTTGTCCTGTCCCTCCATCCCTTGTCCAAAGCCCCTCTCCAGGTTTCCTGGAGCCCCTGTAGGCACTGGAGCTGCTCTAAGGTCTCCCCTTAAGGAGCCTTCTCCAGGCTGTGCCCTCAGGAGCCTGTGTGCTGCTCAGCAAGTGTCTCCTGGTGCCACAGCAGGGCCAGGCCTCGCTCAGCCCTCACCCACCTGATGATGTCCGTGTACTCCCGGTCCTTCCCTTTGCTCTCCTTCCACTTGCGGTACATCACGGAGGCGTCCACATTGGCTGGAGAAAACGTGTTGGGTTCATTCAGCAGCGAGATGACGCTCAGCAGAATGGTCCTGGCCAGCGATAAACAGGAGCAGGTAAGAGCCAAGGCAGCGATTCCAAGAGGCTCCGAGTTCCACGGATCAGAGCAGAGCCTGGCTCACGCTCTTGCTGTTCCTCAGCACATCACACCCCCCAAGTGCCTCTCAGTGACCCCCGAGGCATCTCCCACAGGAGCAGAAGCAGCCCCCGTGGCCCCACATTCCCAGCCCCACCTCGGGATGAGGCTCAGCCCTCACCGCACGTTCTGTGTGGGGTTCCACCGCTCCGACGGCAGCTCCCCGCTCTGCGGG